CCCTGAATCCACAGAAATTGTCACCAAAGCTGTGCGTGTGGGAGTGGGAGTGTGTCTGTGGGGAGGAGGGGGACGTGTGTGTCAGTATTCATGGCACATGTCCCTGGGTGCGAGTCCAGAGTCCCCCCCCCCCACACGCTCTCCTCGCGTGCGCAGGAGGACACGGCTCCCACCCCCGACACTGCCTCCCGAGCAGCCTGGCTCCCGGCTGCGCATGCGCTGCGTGTCCAGCACCTGGTCGGCGCCTGGACGTTCTCTTTCTCCTCGGGGGTCTGGGGAGGAAAAGCCCACCTCCTCCTGTCAGCGTGTGTGTCCACCGGCCCCGCCCAGCCCAGCTGTTGGCCCGTCCCTCGCTGGACCCGGTCCCCACTGCGAGGACAGGAAGCGCTCCCCACATCCGCCTCCGCCACCAGCCTGGTGACTTGTGGTCACTGAGCCCAGTAGCCAGAGAGAGCTTTTAAAAAGACTCACAGACATATAATTAAAATCTCAGTGTTGGGTTTTGGGGAAGGTGCTGGGCGGCTCCCACCCCTGCTTTCCGGAAACACAGATTTGCGGCGTTTGAAAGTGACAGGAGGCTAAAGTGAGACGGTACTAAATATACTGTCCTGGGCATTTCCGGGCAGTGGGGGAAATGTGGGATTGATTCGCCACCCCAGCCTCCTGCCCAGACAGACCAGCCCGGCCACCGGCCCGCCTCACCTCCCCCTCCAGCCTGTGCATCACCTTCCCCTCCGCGCCTATCCTCCACACCCCCAAAACCACATCGCGCTCCTGCTGCCCGGAACCTTGAACCCCACTGGCCAGAGGCACAGCCCGCGGTCCTAGGCCAGAATTCCGCTCTCCAGAGTCAGACCACAGCCAGACTCCCCACCAGTCCCCCACAGCAGTGATCTGTGGATGCCCCCGCACTGCACACCTGTGCCTCCGAGGTCCCCTCTGCCTAGAATGGCTTCCCTGCCACCTTCTCCCCTCCCCCCCCCAGAGGACTCTGTCCCGTCCTTCAAGGCCAGTTCAGGTAGCACCTCCCCTGGGAAGCCTGCTCAGATCGCACCCCATCACGGGATCGTCCAGCTTCCCCGGGACCTGACCAGGTGTCAGCAGGTGCTGTCACTGCTACCTTGCTCCCTCTTATTCCTTTCCAAGTCTCCCTCTGACCTCCTTCCTCCTTCACTTTGTCCCCAAACAGGACCTGCCATCCTTTCACCTTTTGCTGTCTTTATGGCTGTTGTTTCCCCTGCCTGTGCCGTCTGTCCCTCAGCCCTAGGCCTTTGTTCAGGCTGGCCCTTCCTCTGCAGTGTCCTCCCTTGACATGGGGACACATCCACTCTCACCCCTCGAGGCCCAGCCCCAGTGTCAGCTGCAAACGCTTCCTCTCCCCCAGGCTCCTGAGCAGACACATTGGCAGACTCTGGACAGCCCTGGCCTCAGACTGTAGTCGGTTCTGTCCCTGCCCACCCCCGTGGCCCGTTTCTGCCTTGGGTCTGATGTCAATCTTCCCAGAGGAGGGACCTGCCTTCTGCCTCATCCTTGGGTCCCAGAGCCAGCAGGGGATGGGTGGGGCAGCCTGGGTTTGGGGCTTGGGGGCCAGAAGCGGAGGCTGCTCTTGCTGACACCACGGTGTGCCGGGCCCTGTGCCGGACACCTCAGCACACGGCCCCGCCGCACCCTCTCATCACCCGGGAGGCAGAGCCTGGGAGCAAGCCCCTTTGCAGAGGACAGAGACATCCACACCCAGGCTACCTTGGCCCCCAGCTCCCCCCTGGTTCTGCCCAGAGCATAAGTGACTGGCGGCCCCACTCTGTCTTGCAGTGGAGCGTGACCGCACCCTGGGCCACCAGGAGCCCCACTGGAAGGAGTTCAGCTTCGACCTGGCCCAGATCCCGGAGGGCGAGGCGGTCACGGCCGCCGAGTTCCGGATTTACAAGCTGGCCAGCACCCACCTGCTCAACAGGACCCTGCACGTCAGCATGTTCCAGGTGGTCAGGGAGCAGTCTAACAGGTGCCTACCCTTCATCCCGCCCCCCGAGGAAGCCTGGCCAGGGAGGGGACACTTCCCAGAGGACAGAAGGGGAGCTCCCTGGGGAGTACACCCTCAGAGGCAGAAGGATACTTGGCCGAGGCCTTGTGTCACTGTGGGGAGAGGCCTAGCATCGGTTCTGCCTCACTCCCTGCCCTGCTGTCCTGGCTGTGGGACCTTGGGCGGGTCACTGAGCTCCCGGGCCTCAGTTTCCACATCTGTACTGGGCACAGTAACGCCTTTGTACAGTAGATACAGTGAGAGAAGGCACGCGGGGCGCCCAGGCCGAGCCAGGTGGGGTAGGTGCCCCACACGTGCTTCGCCAGGTGGGCACTGGAAACAAAGGCAGCTGTGCCGGCCCTCAGTTAATTGTTTTTTCGTGTCCACAGGGAGTCTGACTTGTTCTTTTTGGATCTTCAGACGCTCCGAGCTGGGGACGAGGGCTGGCTGGTGCTGGACGTGACAACGGCCAGTGACCGCTGGTTGTTGAGCCGGAACAAGGACCTGGGGCTCCGCCTCTATGTGGAGACTGAAGACGGTAAGGCTCAGGGTTGTGCAGCGGACCTTCTCCTGGGGGCTCCTCCACGCTGCTGGCACAGAGCCAGCGGCAGCCCCCTCATTTGGCCCTGGAGGCCTGGCCTCTCTCAGCCCAGGGGCTGGAGCGATAACCCCCTACCCACTTTGGGGGCTCAGTGGGGTGCAGAGAGCGAGGTTCCCATAGCGGGAGGCCCTCTCCCATGGCGGTCTCCCTCCTCTCCTTTTGCAGAACCAACATTTCAGTCACTAAGAGGGAGTCCGCGTTGTCCCTCCCCAAGAGCAGCTGTGTATGTGGGGTGTTTCCGTACTGGGCAGGGCCGAGGAGAGGTGATTACACCGTCAGACTCAGATCAGAGAGGGAGGCCTGGGTTTGAATCCCAGCTCGGCAGCACTCTAACCCAGTGACCTTGGCAGGATACTTACCTTCTAACCCTCAGTGTCCTCCTCTGTAGAAAGAGGATTCACACCTTCATTCATTCCCCAGGTAGCTGGGGGAGAGCCTCCTTTATGGTAGGCAGTGGGGAGGGAGAGGCCGAAGGTGGGCACAGGATGGGTGGATCTGAGCTACAGCAAGGGGCCGCCGTGGCTGGAGCTGGGCGGGCGGGGGCGAGGTGGCGGAGGAGACTGAGAGCTGCAGGGCACACTCTGAGTGTGGGTGAACCCGGGCCCGGTGTCGGAGTGTGGAGGGTAGCTCCCTGTAGTACATAGCAACGGAGGATGTCAGGATCGGAGTCAGGTTTCTCGAAAAGAGCCCTCTGAGCCACCCCTCAAGGAGGGAAACACTCACCCCTGGTGTGACTACACGTAGTGACTTACGCTCCCCAAAAGTACAGTAGGGACGGGGTGGGGGAGGTAAGTTCACGGAGGAGAGAGCTGACCGCACGACCTCAGCAGGTGATCAGGGCTCATACGAACGTCCTTTACATGCTGCGTCCCCGTGGACATGATGGGGTGGGAAGGGCCCTTCATCTCGTCATCTTCCCCCCAAAACCCAGAACCCCATCTAACCATGAGGAAAACATCAGACAAACCCAAATTGAAGGACATGCTACAGAATGCCTGACAAGACTTCTCGAAACTGTCCAGGTCATCAAATACAAAGAAAGTCTGAGATACTGTAACAGCCCAGAGGAGCCTAAGCAGTTGTAACAACGGAATGTTGTTGGGATCATTCATCATGGGATCCTGGAGGAGGAAAAGGACATTGGGGAAGACCCGTGAGATCCGAGTACCTGTGTTTCGTTTATCATCAGACATCAGTGTTGGTTCATTAGTTGTGACAAGTGCCCGGCGCTCACTTCAATGTTAACATTTCCTGGGAAAACTGGCCCTCGGTGTCTGGGAACTCTCTGTACTGTCCTTGCGGTTTTTCTGTTGTAAATGTCAACTATTGTAAAATAAAAACTTAGCATATGTATCCAACAAAGGCCGTGCCCCCTGACATCAGCAGGGACAGTAGTCTGGGGGTGGGGTGGGGGCGAGAGCGAAGTCAGAGAGGCCTGGGAGCCACACAGCCTGCAGGGGAGAGTGGGGAGGTGCTTGTTGATAGCAGCAGAAATGGAGAAAAGTGGGTAGTGGAGGAATCATGGAAAACGTGGATTGAGCCAGTGACAATTTTTTTAAAAAAAGATTTTATTTATTTGACAGCGAGAGAGGGAACAAGCAGCGGAAATGGGAGAGGGAGAAGCAGGCTTCCCACCGAGCAGGGAGCCTGATGCGGGGCTCGATCCCAGAACCCTGGGATCATGACCTGACCCAAAGGCAGATGCTTAACGACTGAGCCACCCAGGCGCCCTGAGCCAGTGGCCATTTTTAATAGAACCTTTTTTTTTCCTGCCTGAGTAAAAGTAGAGGAGGGGCAGACTTGAGAGAGCAAGCCAAGAGTCCTTTTCTGGCCACGATGTTTTTGAGAGCCCTGGTTGACGTCCAGATGGAATGTCAACTCGGACAGGTGAGTGCTGGGGCGCAGGTATGGGAAGCGCTGACATCTAAGTGGCTTGAGAGCCATGGGACCTGAGCAGGTCACCTGGGCAGGAGGTGTCAGTGGAGAAGGAAGGGGACGGCCCAGAACCCTGGGGTCTCCCACATGGAAAAGGCTGCGCAGAAGGGTTATGCGGAGGATCTATCCTTCCCACCCACGGGGTTTGGAGCCGGGGACAGTGGCCTTCCCGCCAACCCCTGCGCCCAGGGTCGGTCTTCCCCTCAGTGACGCTGCCACGGGGCCTATGCAGGCACTGCTCCTTCCCCATCCGGTCGCAGGGTTTGGGTCCCCTGGGCCGGGAGGTGTGGCGCTCTGGAGCCGGCTCCTCGGAGCGTGGAGAGGCCAGGCTGTGGGGGGCCACCTGGTCCCCACGTCACGGCCTCGCATGCCCTCCCTGCTCTGGACACAGTGGCTACAGTGGTCTGTCCCCACTGGGTCCAGAGTGCAGAGGCGGAGCGCACGATGGCGGCCCTCCGGCGGCTGGTGATGGTTCTTGGGCGCTGCGTCCCTGCCAGCCTTTCAGGGCCCACGCTGGCTGAGGCCCAGGGTGGTGTGCACGTCCTGGCCACCAACACTCGTGCCCGCACCAAATTCTATGAGGATTCCATGGAGGCCGTGAAAGATATCTCCAACAGGACTAGGATCATGGTTGGCAGCTTTGGGCTCTGCGGGATTCCAGAGAATCCGATAAGGTGCTACTGGAGATGCGCATCAAGGACTTGACCATGGTCAGCAGCAACGTGGCGGTGGACGACTTTGGGCTGGGCCTTTTACTGGAGACCAAGCAGATCCCCCACATCATTGGCTCCCATGTGGGGGGAACGTGCTGTGCGGGCACCACTACCTGTCGGGCGAGCAGCCAGAGCTGCCGCCCCAGGGCACCCTGGCCGATCACATCCGTGCAGGGGCACCGGGGTGCCTTCATTCTACACGCCCACGGCCTATGGGATCCTGGCGCAGGAGGGAGGCGCCGGCGGCTGACAGCCACGCGGTCATCATGAGCCAGTCCCGAGAAGTGAGGGAGTTTCACGGGACCACTATCTTCTGGAGCAGGTCAGCTCGGCCCGTTTTGCTTTGGTGAAAGGGTGGAAGGCCAACCGCGCAGGAAACGTCATCTTCAGAAGAAGCACCAGGAATTTCAATGTGCCCATGTGCAAAGCAGCAGAAACCTCAGTGGTGGAGGTGAAGACATTGTGGATGTGGGGACGTTTGCCCCCAAAGACGTCCACATTCCTAACATTGATGTGGACTCTCTAATCCAGAGGGAAAAATATGAGAATAGAATTGAGTGTCTAACCGTGCGGACAGAGGAAGGTGAGAAAGCCAAGTCTGTGGGTGACCTCAAGGCCCGGATCATCACACGGGCAGCTCTTGAATTTGAGGATGGCATGTACACTGATTTGGGCATAGGATCCCCTCTCCTGGCCAGCAACTACGTCAGCCCCGATATAACTGTTCATCTTCACAGTGAAATGGGATCCTGGGCTTGGGTCTGTTTCCATTAAAAGAGGAGGTGGATGCGGATCTCATCAATGCGGACGAGCAGATGGTCACCGTTTTCCCCGGGAGCTGTTTTTTCTCCCGCCATGACTCGTCTGCCATAATTCAAGGGGGACGCCCCCACCTCACCATGATGGGAGTCATGCAGGTTTCCCAGTACGGTGACCTGGCTAACTGGATGATCCCAGAAAGAAGGTGAAAGGCATGGGGGGAGCCATGGATTTGGTGTCCAGCGTCAAGACCAGAGTGGTGGTCACCATGCAACACCGCACCAAGGACAAGGATCCCAAAATCGTGGAGAAATGCACCATGCCACTGACCGGGAAGCGCTGTGTGGACCGAATCATCCCTTAGAAGGCCGGGTTGGATGACATGCACAAGAGAGGCCTGACATGGGTGGAGCTCTGGGACGGCCTGATGGAGGACGACGTCAAAAAGAGCACGGGCAGCCCCCCTTCGTCGTGTCACCGACCCTCAGATCCACGCAGCCCCTGGCAGCCTGAGCGGGGAAGGACGCCCTGGTCCCAGAGGGTGGGTTTTATTGGAACCCACAGGAGGTGTGATCACCTCTGTCCGAGGTGCTGGACGCCTGACCAGCTTTGCTACCGCCAGACAGACTATTCTCTCAGGAGGGATATGGCTTTAATTAAAAACCAAAGGAGAATGTAGCCGTTTATCTTCTGTGTTCTGTGCGTCCTGAGATCGGTCTGGTACCATCGTTGGGCACGCGGACACCCTCCTCACTGTGCTGTTTACATGAAATTCTCTGCAGCTCGGATGAACCCACAGGACGGCTTTCACGGAAGGGCCTTCCCTCGTGAATGAGCCAAGAAATGTGGGAGGAAGACATGACCACCTCCGTACACCCAAGGCTCCACTTTGCCAGCACCGTGCAAAATATACAAGCCAAACATGCACCGTGACTGGAGGAATGCTGTCTGCATGTGCTTGTCTTCCTGAGGCCCCTCTGACTTTTCCTCTGGGTCCTTCCATCTTGGGGCTAAATTCTGTAGCCTCCCCTCTTCCTCCCTGCACGGCCTCCTTCTCACGGCTAAATAGATGTGTCTGGAAGGACAGCAAGGCTGTCTAGCTGGGCCAGAGCACTGGTAACACAGTGACAGGTGGGGAGAGAGGTTCCTCTGTAGATAAACAGTCCCCGTGTGCTGTTAAAGGTGGCGGCTTGTGGTAGGAGGGGTTCTAGAAACCAAGACGGACTTAATGGGTTTTCTCATCTTCAGACATGGGTTCCTGTGTCCCCCAGGACACTCAGACCCTTTCTGCCTGTCGTGGAGCCCTAGACTGGCCTGTTGTCAGTACTGTTATAATACAGGAGAGGCTGTGAGGTGTTTCATCCTGAACCCACAGTGTCACAGCCTTAAAAGAACAAAATGAGTTATGTGTGCGTGTGTGCACACGTGCCCGTGCACCCATGTGCATGTCCAAATGTGTGCGTGTGTGTGATGTGCAGCCATGCCTTGAGAATGTGGGCCAGCGGATGGAACATGCTGCTTCTCTGGTCCAGGGGGGACCCATGAAACCTCCAGCCTCACCCCACTTCTCAGTCAGCTGAGGCCACGAGGAGGACAGAGTGGAAAACAAAGCCTGTAAAAACAGGCTTTTGTGTAAAAACAAAGCCTGACACGGAGCACGATGCACGCTCTCAGTGTAGTGCTCGAGGGGCACACAACCATCAGGAGCACGTGGGCAGGAACTGGAGATTCTAGCTGTGAAGGAAGGCCTTTCAGAGAGGCGTCCTTGGGGCCTCGCCCTGAAGGAAGGCCAGATCCTGGAATGGAGGGATGGAGACACCGCTCCCTGAGGGGGCAGCCTGGGGTTTGGGGGTAAGTGGCCAGGGACCATGACCAGGTTGGGGGTGGAATGGAAGTCATCAAGTGGATGGATAGTGGGGCACCCTCTGGGGCTTCTGGGGAGCGGCCCTGATCGGCCGTGGGTGTCAGTTCCCAGCGTGGGGCAGGCAGAGTTTCCAGGAGCAGAGAGTGAGAGGTGCATAAGACGTAGGAAGCAGGAGGAAGGGTGAGTCCCTCCTTCTCACGGGCTGAAGTAACCTAGCCGCAGGGACAAAGGCAGACCGGGTCCACAGCCGGGACTCTCCGAGGGTTCAGCCAGGCACCCTGATGGTCCTTCAGCGTGGCACCAGGATCACACCCATGGCCGCAGGCTGAGGTGGGGCCGGGTCTGTGGGGAAGAGTCAGGTGGCGCCCAGAGCAAGAGGAGGCCTGGGGGAGAGGTGGGAGTGATCTTGGCCTGGCCCAGTTGGGTGGGGGTGTGAGTTCGGCCTTGACCACCTGCCCTGCCACAGGATGCGGCAGGTGAGCTGCCAAGACCTCTGGGCACTGATGGAGCTGACTGAGAAGTGGGGTGAGGCTGGAGGTTTCATGGGTTCCCCCTGGACCAGAGAAGCAGCATGTTCCATCCGGGGCGAAGGGGAGAGGCCACAGTGTGGCCCACATTCTCAAGGCATGGCTGCACATACCCCATCAGGTACAAAGGGGACAGCATGCCTGCCAGCACCCCACAGGGTCAGGTATAGAGCCAGGGACGCTGGGCCCCAGAGACGCCCACCTCTACCTTTCTAGAAAGCAGCCTTCCAGAGCCAGGCAGCCTCGGGCCCCACCCCCTAGACCGCTCGGGCCTTCCCTGCAGCCCCTTCTCTCTGCCCCCCGGGAGGCCCCAGCAAGATCCTTGATCAGACGGATGCACGAGGAGAGCGAACAGTGAACACTGCCTCAGGTGACAGATCGCCCTCCCTGGCTCCTCGGTGGATGGTTCTCTCCGGGGAACAGGGGCAGGGCAGCGGCACCCGCAGGGGTGGAGGGCTGCCCAGCCCAGGGTCACTCCAGCGCCGTGTGGACGACAGTCACCCTCCTGCTCCCATCCACTCTGTCCTCCTCGTGGCCTCACTGGCCTTGTCGCTCTGCTCACAGGGCTTGTATGTGTCTCGTGGCTCAGGGTCCTCATGGGTCTGCTGCTTCCTCATGACTGACTTGCTATGACCCAAACTCTCCCGAGTGGCTTCTCTCTGGGCTCCTTCCAGGGTCCACTCCTGCAGCTGACGACCTCCTGTCCCAGCAGGATCGCTCCCCAGTGGAGCCTCCGTTGGGTCCAGTGCATTTGTGTGTGGCAGGTGATGTCATAGGTCAGAGTTTAGTCTCTGGATTGATTTGTCTTCAGTCAACTTGGCCCAAGGACACGGGCCTACAGCACAGCTGTTTAAGGGCTGACCTTTACCAGCCGAGCAGGACTGTGGGTGGCACGGGCAGTGCCCTTGACCTGTGGTGTGTCCCAGTGAATCATAGTAGACCCGCTAGTGGAGCAAACATAGGTATTTGTACATGTGGGCGTCTGTATACTGTAAGATAAACGCATGTGTTTCTATACACGCGTGTGCGTGCGTGCGTCAGGGTGGACACACTGAGGGGACATGGACACGGAAGGGGAACAGTTGGCTCTGTGTGTTACGAAACATAAAGTTGAGTTACTAATCCTTTCTGTCGTTTAAGAAGATTCCACAGGAAGAGAACATGAAGGGGTCTGCGGCGTTCTCGTCTTTACAGAGAAAGCCGGGAAATAACCGACGTGTTTAAAGCGAAGCTAATATCTAAGTACCATGCGGTGTTTTCTCAAAGGAATTTTATACATTTGAAATGCTCATAGTGGAGACATTTTAACAGCAGTGAACATGTTTGTGTGAAAAAGTTGGAAAAGATACAGATACTTATGGTCACCATTGTGTAAAACTTCAACTGATGTGAAAATATTCCAGAAAAATGAAAATGCTGTGTTGGAGCGTGGAGAGATTTCTGAGTGATGTTTTTTTTTTTCCTTAAACGTTACAGTTGCTATTTTATTACTTTGACAATTAAAAAATCAGGAGGCAGGGAGCCTGGGTGGCTCAGTCAGTTGAACGGCCCACTCTTGGTTTCGGCCCAGGTCATGATCTCAGGCTCATGGGATTGAGCCCTGCGTCGGTCTGTGAGCTCAACGTGGAGTCTGCTTGAGATTCTCTCTCCGTCACCCTCTGCCCCTCACTCCCCTCAAATAAATAAATCTTTAAAAAATCAGGAGGTCATTTGGAAATACAAAGAAGTACAGGAAGTTAGTTTTACTGGTGGACTTGACATTTCCAGCGATCATGAGCGTGTTTCCCAAGACATCCTCATGTTTAAGCAGCTTCGGGGTCAAATCCCATTTTCACGGGCGCTCCTCTTCCTAGCCAGAGGCCCCCATGGGTCCCTGCCCATGGCCTTTTCTCTTTTTTGACCCACAAACCTGGAGTTAATGCCTTAAGTGAGTAAGAACTTGGGGTCTGGAATTAGACGTGGCCTGAACCCCAGCTCTGGGACTTTGTCCAGATGTCTCTGCCCCACTTCCCCCGGTGTCCTGTTTGTGGGCATCGGGGGACACTTAGGGCCCTGCTCTTGGCAGTGGCGGGCAGAACAAGTCCTCGCTACATCCTGGCGGCTGCTCCCATCCACTGGGGCACGATCCATCGAGTCCCCCGAAAGTATGGGGGGGCGGGAGAACTCGGGCCTCAGAGCCCTCAGACGGGGGTGGGAACCACCATTCTGTGCGACCCTGACTGTGTGGCTCCGAAGTTTTTCCATGAAGCGTGTGGTCCAGGTTACTGTGGAGACACACGAGGTCATGAGTGGGAGTCACTCGAACCTGTAAAGGGCTTCAAGGATGGCAGTGTTCACCATTGTCACGAATGACGACCCTGTGTTGGCAAGGCTCCCTCCCCGTCTCCCTCAGACCATCTCCCTCGGGTCTCCAGATGAGGAGACTGAGGCCCTCTGCCTCCGTGCACCGGGGCCCGCGCAGGCTCGGGCAGAAGGGTCCCCGCTGTCCCCCGTGCCCGGCCCCTGTGCGCGAGTGACCGCCCTCTCTCCTCTCTCCGTCCCAGGGCACAGCGTGGATCCTGGCCTGGCCGGTCTGCTGGGGCGACGGGCGCCGCGCTCCAAGCAGCCTTTCCTGGTCACTTTTTTCAGGGCGAGCCCCAGTCCCGTCCGAGCCCCTCGGGCAGCCAGGCCCCTGAAGAGGAGGCCGCCGAAGAAAACCAATGAGCTGCCGCACGCGAACAGACTCCCAGGGATCTTTGGTGAGGTCCGGGGCGGGCCTGGGGCTGGGCCCGAGAACAGCTCCGGGGGACAGAACCATCCGGGGCGTCTTCAGGCCTGTGCTCACCCTCCAGCACCTTCCTGACACCCTCCTTTGCCTCGTGTGCCCTGAGGACCAGCCACTGCCCTCTCCGTCCCTGCCACCCAGAAGCGCCTTCTTGGCCCTCCCCTGGCTCACCAGGGCTTTTTCCAGAAGCCTCTGTCAGCATCAGGTGCCCCTTCCTCGAGGCACTGGTGCCTCTCAGGTCTCCCCTGGGGACCGAGGATCCACAGTTGTTTATGTGAGGGTCTCCCCACCAGACTGAGCCCCTCAGGATCAGGGGTGGGCCTGCCCTGCCCGCCTGCCCTCCATTCCTCCACGGGGA